AACACAAGCACTTTTCTTCTCTCTCTCTCTCTTCTTCTCTCTTCTTTCGGGCATTATGGTTAGCAATTCAGATACCAAGTGGCCATCATCTTGGTCTTTTACCTACTTTCAGCACACATTTCCCATCCGGAGTTACCTACAACCATTATTGTCACAGGGTTCCCCTCTCTATCCCAACTGACCTCTCTCCCAGCCCTTGAGGCAGTCTTCCAACCATGGACCAATCCTCCTGGCCCTTGTTTCTACTGTCCTTGGGTGTTAGTCTCATACTTTGTTGTTGTTTCTTTAAATCCCACAAATGAGTGCAATCATTCTATTTTGTTCCTCTCCTACTGACTCATTTCACTCAGCATGATACTCTCCATGATACTCAGCATGATACTCTTAAGGTACCCTCCCCTTGATTCACTCCTACATAGAAATTGGAATGTTTAAGACAGTCACTTTCCAGAACCTGAGCCAATACCCAACTTCTATTTCTCTATTTTGAGGGCAATTATTTCTTGAAGTATCCAATGGTATTTGTGGGCCGAATCTAGAGCAAAGGTCCATTTTAGGAAAGGTTGCCCCAGGAGGAAAAATCTGGAAGAAAGCCTGAAGTGGGCATGAGAAATAAATACACATAATGATCCTGAGTGCTTCAAATATTTGAAGGGAAAATTCCATCTCTGCTTCCAGAAGACATCTAAATCGAGGAAGTCCAGAAAGGAAAGAAGATGGGAGCATTCTAGACAACAACCTTCCCTGGGACCCACATGCACTTCCCGAGCAATGAGCCCCCACTCCATTCTCATGGGGACCAGACTCAAGACCCTGCGCATCTCTGTGGGAGCCCAGGGCCTGTCCACTGTCCTTCATGGATTCAACATCAGGATCTACATCTCCTGTTCTTTTTCTCCCCAGCAAGGCTGTGCTGTTCCTCAGGTCTTGGTATCTTCATTAGCACCCAGGAAGTGCCACAGCCATTTCACTGCCTTTATATTAGAGAAGAATGAAGTCCAAAGGCTCTGTCTCTCAGAACTGGGAGTTGAATTGATACTAGTCCATTTATCAACCTCACTGCTTAGGCTCAATGAGAAGGAATTGGTCTGCCTGGAGAAAAAGACCCTTGGCTTCAAATATAGACAGAGAAGAGCCTGCTATGCCACCATCCTAGTCAGAATCTCACAGGCTTCAGAGGACCCTCCTGGGAGCCAATGACCCAAAATCCAGGGACCATGTTAGGGAATGGAGCATATTAGAATGTACTGTCCCCCCCCACACACACACACTGTCTTACACATACTTTCTCACACACTTACTACACACAATCTCTCAGATACACTCTTTCTCTCACACACACTATCTTGCATACATTTTCTACACATTCAAATACTTTCACATATATGCCTTCTCACACTCACCTGCACACTCACATGCACTGTGTCATACACACACTCTCTCACACTCACACTTTCATGCACACACACCTCTCACATACACTCATACACATATACACACACTGTCTCATACACACTCTCTCTCACACTCACACTTTCATGCACATACACACCTCTCACACTCACACACATACACACACACACTTTCTCTCATGCACACTCTTTTACACAAACTCATTCAAACAAGTCTCACACTTTCTTACACACACACACACATACACACACATGCACACACTTTTCTGGGATTCCTGGCTTTGCAAGAGCTGAGGCAAACAGATTTTGGACTGGAGGGAAGAGGACAGAGGGAAAGGACAAGTCTTCCTCTACGCCAACCAAAACGAACTCATTCACTCTATCCAGCAAAAGCCAGACAGTGGAATTACCTGATTCACTCGGCCTCAGTTGGGAGCCAGACTTCCAAAATGGGAAGCCAGCTCAGACTAAACAGTGGCTTCCACGCAAAGACTCTGCCCAAGCAGCAGAGACTTCACGGGAGACTCCCAAGAGGCTGCTATTCAAATCCACCCACTGGTCCCCATATGAAAGGACGAATGACAGAGCTTCTAAGATAAGTTGACAAAGGCATTTCCAGGAAGAAACATCCAAAAGACCTGCCAACTGGTCCTCTGGCACAGGCACACTGTGGGGTAGGGTGGGGTGGCGAGAAATCGGGGTGCCTGGCCAATGTTTTCCAGTGCAGAGGGAGATTTTGAGGGCTGGCTGTAGGTTCTGAGAGCCCTGGGGAAGTTATTTTAGAGCAATGTCCTTTGAAATTCTTGCTCAAAGATTTTTGGATCTGTGTCTTGGGTCGGAATGACACTGAGATAAAGGGTGAAATTAAAATTATGCCTCTGGGGCTTCACGGAAGGGAAGGGGCAGAGTGATCATGGCTGGCAGCTGAGCATTTAGCAGATGGTTTATGGAAAACACAGATTTTTGAGGGGCGATTACGGAGCGGTGATTTATCTCCTTTGGAACCTGACACGCATCCTGGAATCTCTGGAATCTATCAGTTATTCATTCAGGAAATATTTGCTTCCGTTCGAGGATGCACCAGGCCCCGTGCCTCTCAAAAGAGTGAGAACCAGACAGCCACAGGCCCGACCCACAGGCGAACAATCCCCCCATGGAAAACTGTGTGGGAAACTAAGATGAGGCTGGGAAGGAGGGGTCGCAGCTCTCAAGGGAAGCGCCAGGTCACCTGATTTAGCTCAAGATAAACGGTTTGAAAGGAGTCTGTAAGGAGGTGGTGATCTTAAAGTTCGTATGTTATTCAAGATCGAGCTTACCTTTGTAGTGAGAACTTCTGGCTTCAGTATGAAACACAAAATGGGAAGTGGATAGAGGGGTGACATTAGGAGACTGTGGATGAGAAAGACAGGCTGAGAAATAAGGTGAGTCCAGCCACATATGGAAGCAATGGCATGGGCATGGGGGACAGAAAGGGTAGCAGGAGCTAGGGTGGCATAGTGACCAGCACCTGGTACCAGATGAAGGGAGGGTGGGACTTCCAGTGACATGGAAGTTTCAGGCTTGGGTGGAAGGTGGCGGTCCCCATTGAGAGATCTCAGAAGGATGGGAGGCTGGGGATGGCGTCAGGGAGATGATGTGACCTGTTTCACTGTCAACCAAATGGACATCCCACTGCACACTTCCAGTCTCCTAGTGCCTGCTCCTGCTATTTTCATCTCAGAAACTCTTTCAGAGACCCCCCTTGCCATCAAAACCAGTCCTTTCTTCAGGAGCCATTCCACACCCCATCACTCCCATCCTCAAAGATATTCTGGAATCCCTCAGTGAGCTGTCACTTCTGTTGCCTCCCTGCAAAGCTCCAACTCTTTTCTCTGAGGGGCTGCAGAGATGTGTCTCCCCACGCTTCCTCAACCATTCTGGATCCCAAGCTTTCAGGCAGAGAGCCCCCACTTTTCCAGCCTCAATACCCACCTACTTTGCCAGCTAGCCCGGGTGAAGTCTGATAAATATTTACTAAGTCAATAAAAACCACCTGCTTTGGCTGAGAAGGAAATCCTGAGGATGAGGGGTTCATGGGAGGATGGAACTGAAACCCAAGTTATAGGTGTTTTCAGACACATCAAGGGCAATGCTCAGAGACCCCCTTTCCCCGCCAGCCCCCTGGGAGGGCAGGGAGATGGAAAGTCACAGCCTCCACTTTTTCAGTTCTCTAGTGAAGGGGCTTGTGCATCTCACAAAAAGTCTGCCCTGGATCAGGGGGATTCATGATAAATAACAGTTACTGGGGCTGGGTATTTTCCAAGAGCTCCTCACGGACTCACCCCTTTGTCCCTCACGGACACTCCAGGAAGTAGACGCCATCATTCTTTGTACAGATGGGGAAACTGAACTACAGAAGTTAAGCCCAGTCAACTCATGCTCAATCAAACCCACACAGGGAAGAAACAAGGGGGTGGGGGGGAGGAGGTGGTCCACTCTCCTCAGACTGAGCACTCCCTATAGCACCGAGTGCCTCCCAACAAGAGTTTCCCTGAAGAATGGGGGGAGCCTGCAAGAGGTGGCCCCCGTTCCAGGGCTCATGCTGCCACAGACTCCTCAGGGAGGATGGAGAAAGTTGGGTTTCTTTATCCATAAAATTAGGGGTCTGGATACTGGCAGTCACAGTGCTCACAAGAATGATGCAGACAATTTGAGTCTCCTCTGGGTTTTTTTTGGGGTTTTCTTTTCGGTTTAAATTTTGGGCCACACTTGGCTGTACTCAGGGCTTTCTCCTAACTGGCTTTCTCCTAACTCTAGCACTCAGGGATCACTTCTGGTGGGGCTCTGGGTACCGTATGGGATGTCAGGGAATGAACCTGGGTCAGCCACATGCAAGGCAAGCACCTTAGCTGCTATACTATTGCTCCAGCACTGAGATTTTATTTTATTTTTCTATTTTTATTGAATCACTGTGAGATACATGGTTACAAAGTTGTTTCTGATTGAGTTTCAGTCATATGATGTTCCAACACCTGTCCATTTACCAGTGTACATTTTCCACCACCAATGTGCCAGTTTTCCTCCTACGACTCCACCCTCCAGCCTGCCTCTATGGTAGGCACTTCCCCGCCCCCCCCCCATCTCTCTGTCTCTCTCTCCCCTTTTTCTCCCCACCTGTTCTCCTCCCTTTTGGGCTCTGAGTCTTTAAAGGAACCCATCCCAAGGAATTTGAGGGTAAGAGGATGCCATCTGTCCAATACCTAGAAAAGGAAAGAGAACCTGAGCTCATCAGCTCCCACTCTCTTCTCCCTAGCCTGGTGGCCGCAAGGAGCTCTGGAGGTCTGGGAGGAGGAGCAAACTCATGCACTCTCCATGCCTGTGGCCCTTCAAGGGACGCTGCTTGTCCAGGTTTCACAGAATCGGGGCTCACTGGAAAGGGAAGGTTGGAAATCATTGGGGCAAAGAACTCTGGAATCTCATGAGCTCCAGGAGTAAGCCAAGTTTACTGGCAACTGTGCTCCTTGCAGTTACACGCTAGAGGAACCAAGGTCGCTCTTTAAATGGCAGCAGCCGTGAGGAGGACGGTGCTGAAGGCTCAGCCCCACTCACCTGCTCCACCCGAATCTCAATCTCGCCGTTCACTTTCTTCCCGTGGAAATACTTGGCCCTGTGAAGGAGGGAAGAAATCGCATGAGTAAGGATGCTGACGACTTTACCCACTCTGCCTCCTCCCGCAGGCCTGATCCCAGACACATTCCCTGCTTTCTGCCCTGCCTCCCACCGGACTGCCCATTTTCTCATTCTTCACACATGGTGTATGGAAGAGGAGAGAAGGGACTGCAGGAGAGGACCAAGTCAGGCTTCTGGCACTGCCACATTACTTTCTGCCCTGTGTCTCAGTTTCATCCTCCATAAAAGGAAGATGTTAACACTGGCGTGACATAGAGTTACTTTAAAGAGGACATGAGAAAAAAAATTCTACACACTAAAATTATTTTACTGAGTTACAGCTTATATTCTACATCAAGGACTTACTGAGTTGTTCTTCCCATGCACACACTTCCCTATTAATCTATTCAGTGAAAAACTCTCATCTGTCCCTATTATCCATCCACCTATCCATGCATTTATCAATCTATTGATGCACCTATATACCCACCTTCCCACTCACTCACCCATTCATCCATTCATCCACCCACCCATCCATTGGTTCGCCCACCACCAGTCCATCCATTTATCCATCACCTTCTATCCACCCATCTATGCTTTGGTCATCTTTCCTTCCAAATCTTTATTTCTATCCTCTACAAATATCAACAAATGAGTAGGGAAACTCCTGACTCAGTGCTTGGTGTCTGCTCTGAGTGGTGCTCTGGGGACCATGTGATGGTAGGGACTGAACCCAGACCTATCACATGCAAAGCATGTGCTCAGCCCACTGGGCTCTTGCTCCAACCCCATCTATGATCTACTCAGGGAAAAAACAGACATTATATTGGATCACTTTCTCTTCATCCTTCATGGTTTTAAATTCAAACTCTCATCTCTATCCCATGTTTTCTACAAGCATCCTTATTCGAATGAAGTGTCTCTCTTCATCTCTCTTCTCACACTGAGTCTCTTTCTGTACTTGACTTTTCGTTACAGCAGTTATTACATCCATGATTATGCTCAGTAACTGCTTCCTAAGTGTCTGTCCTACTTAACTATAAAGTTGTTCTTGAGGTCAAGAACAGCCTTGATCACTGTATGATTGAAACGTAATCATGAAAGTCTGTAAGTCTGTAACTGTATCTCACGGTGGAAGAAAGAAGAAAGGAAGAAGGAAGGAGAAGGACAAGAAGAAGAAGAAGAAGAAGAAGAAGAAGAAGAAGAAGAAGAAGAAGAAGAAGAAGAAGAAGAAGAAGAAGAAGAAGAAGAGAGGAGGAGGAGGAGGAGGAGGAAGAGGAGGAGGAGGAGGAGGAGGAGGAGGAGGAAGGGGAGGGGAAGGGGAAGGGGAAGGGGAAGGGGAAGGGGAGGAGGAGGAGAAGGAGAAGGAGAAGAGGAGGAAAGGAGGAGGAGCAGGAGGAGGAGGAGGAAGAGGAGGAGGAGGAGGAGGAGAACAACCTATCTTACTCATCATTCTGTTCCCAACACTTGCCAGAGTATTTGACACATGCAGGAGCTCAAATACTATTTGTTTTGTTTTGTTTTAAGTGAGATTTTTTCTGAGGGGGGATCTTGGGCCATGCCCAGTGGTATTCAAGGGCTCTTCCTGGCTCTGTGCCCAGGAGTGACCCCTGGCAGAGGGATCATATGTGGTGCTGGAGATGGTACCAGAGTGGAAATGTTGAGGCCACATGCAAATCAAGTGCCTTACCTCCTGTAATATCTCTCCAGGCTCTCAATTAAGATTTTCTAAAAGAATAAGTATGTAAAATGGTAGATGAGTGGGACAAACCAACAGACAGTAGCTGCTGAGTCCATCATCTGTGCTAGAGATTGCTTGGGGCTTGGTTTAGACTTTTTTAAAAATTGAATCACAGTGAGATACACAATTATAAAGCTGTTCATCATCTGGTTTCAGTCATACAATTTCCTAACAACCATCCCTCCATCAATGTACATTTCCCACCACCAATGTCCCCAGTTTCCCTCCCACCCTTCCACCTCAGCTATGGCAGGCATTTTCCTTCTCTCTTTCTCCCTCCCTTTCCCCCCCACCCCAACCTTTTAGGCATTACGGTTTGTAATGCAGATACTGAGAGAGGTCACCATGTTTGTTCTTTTACCTATTTTCAACATGCAGTTTTTATCCAGAGTGATCACTTTTAACTATCTTTGTCATAGTGGTCCCTACTCTTTCCCTGCCTTCTACCCCAGTACTTGAGGCAGGATTCCAACCATGGACCAATCCCCCTGGCCCTTGTTTCTACTGTCCTTAGGTGTTAGTTTTATATTATTGTTTTTTTATATCCCCCAAATTAGTGCAATCATTCTATGTCTGTCCTTCTTTTTCAGGTTCATTTCACTCAGCATTATACTTTCCATGTTCATCCATTTATAAGTGAATTTCATAGCTTTATTTTTCTTAATAGCTGCGTAGTATTCCAGTATGCAGATACACCATAATTTCTTTAACCAGTCATCTGTTCTTGGGCACTTAGGTTGTTTCCAGATTCTGGTTATTTTCAATATTGCTTCAAGGAACATAGCAGTGCAGATGGCAATTTCTACTGTGTTTTTGGGAACCCAGGATATATTCCCAGAAGTGGTATTTCTGGGTCACATGGAAGCTCAATTTCTAGCTTTTTGATGCCGATTGGTCTAGGCTCTTTATGGGGCCCTTTCCCACCACATAGGTGTGCATGGGAGATGGGAAGGGGGAAGCAGTCAATAATATTCTCATCCCACAGACAAAGAAACTGAAACCCAGAGAGGAAATACCTTTCTCTAAAACTTGTTCTAACCCCACATCTGTGATTTGGCTCAGTCCTGAAACAGCCAGTAACAGTGGGATGAGCCTAAGATTATATTTGGGGTATAAATTGTTATTAATCAAATGGCCCATGCAGGGTCAGAGGGCTGGGAAGTCACTCCTGTCCACACTGGGCCAACTGGGCCAGGTGGTTTAATGTTTGAGTCCAGCAACGGGGCACTGCTTGGGTCCAGCGGTGCGTAGGTCACCAGGGCCACCCCTATTAGTGTGTGCCCTCCCCACTGCCCCCGGTATATATTTGAAGTGCTTAATGCTCCTAGGTATAAATATTCTTTCACAACACACAATTAATCAAAGTCAGCACTTGCTTTTCTATTGCTGGTACTGAGCATACATGTGCCAGGTATTTTCATAAACGTTCGCTGGGAGGTAACTCATTACTCCCAAAACCCATTTTCTTAAGAATATTGCCATTATTTCCCCTGGAACAAGAATGTTAATGTTACCTTCCGTCTTTCCAACCTTCCATTGGTGAAAGAAGGGGCCACTGGACAAAGCCTCTGACCAAGCTTTGGTCTGTTTTGATTTTGGGGGTTGGAGGAGATGGGTGTACCTGACAGCACACGGACCTTACTCCTGGCTCTGCACTCAGATGTCACTCCTCGTAGTACTTAGGGAATTATATATGGTGCCAGGGATTGAGTCGGGTCGATCCCACGCAAGGCAAGAGCCCTACCCATTGTACTACTATAGCTTATGCTTTCAGAAAATAAAAGAGGTTCTGTGTGGGCCACAAAGCTCAGCTGGCAGTTAATGCATCCTTGCGGGCAAGCTGGATTGGGAATCGTCATGCGCTTGGGCATAATCTGAGGCATAAACTCCCCCCCCCCCCCCACCAGGGAGGTTAAGGCAAGTCACTGGCCCTGTGAGGTCTCAGTCACTGCACCTGTCACACGGTCACAGGAGCTCCAGTCATGGCTGTGGTGACCCAACCATGGAGGGTCCCACTGGCTGGGGCCCCTGAATGTGATCTCCCACTGACGGGCCATCTGGCCAATGACACGCCCCCACTATGCCTGTACCCATGCTTGCACAGGGGGGTTCACAGCAGCTACCTTGCAGGCTGACTGAGAATTAAAGGAGACCAGAAATGAGGAGACTCAGAACTGGCCTGACAAACCTGGTCAGGCCCCAGGCGTGTAAAGCCCAGGCCAGGATGGAAGCAGCAGCAAAGCGCTATTTTTTCCTCAGTCCATGGTTACCAGGTGGCTGGGCTCTCCTCACCCACAAGGCACAGAGGCCCCTGGGGTGGATGCAGCACAGAATGACAGTTCTGCTCATTTGATGTGTCCCACAGGGGCAGTGAGTAGCAATGAACAGCAATAATTGAGGTCATGGGGGAACATCCGAGGCCTGCCAGCACCCAGACCCCTCCTTCTATGGAGCACTCATGTGCCCCTGAGGGGTGCTCAGGCTGGGGTCAGGATGACCAAGCCCACAGAAAACCTCACATGAAATCTCCAAGTGACCTGTGTGAGTTTGATTTCCTACTTGAAGGTCTGAGGGCTTCAGCCCAGACCCTCTGGGTCCTTCATAATTTGGACCCTGAGGAACAAACGGCCCATTTCTCCTTGACTTTCTACCCACCGGTGCCACTTCCCCAAACATGACCCACCCCTGGGGGCCTCTGAGTCTGTGCCCATGATGCTGGCCGCTCGGGTCGGCTCCTCTCCGCTCTCCCTAATGCCTCTTTATCTCGTCCACATACCTTCAAGGGCTTTGCTCCATTTCCCTGTAAACATGTGGCTCAGGGGATTGGGTGAGGTTCCCCCCACCGCGGTTAGGTACCACCGTGCTCCTAACTCTACAAGTGTCCTGTGCTGTCATTACACCATGACAGCCCCTGACACCTCCATTCACATAGTGTATGAGTGACTGTGACCTCGCATCGGTGGACAGGCACAGTCACACCACACACACACACACACACACACACACACACACACACACACACACACACACGGAAGCAGCTAGGGCCGCAGGAAGATGCTTCTTCACTGCCACCTACCGGCGCCCCGCGGTAGCGCACCCACCCGTCCAGGCTGATTAAGATGTGGGCGACTTTGTCCAGTGTCCAACCTGCACGTCCGGCATTCCTTTGGCCGGGTTCTAACCCCGAACCCGGAGCGCTGTGCGCCTTCAGTGCCACCCAGGAAGCTCTGCTGCATCCACGACCTCATCTGCCCGGG